AATATGGACGGAATGGTGTGGACAGAAAAAAAAGTTCTGACCAATAGCACCAGTGACCGTTCAAACTTTTTAATGGCTTGTGAGTAAATACAAACTTTTATAAGGACACACAGCTAAAAGCCTCAAGCCTAAGGGGGTGTTTGGATCCAGGGACTTAAGTTTGTTTAGGAGGTGTCACATATGGTGTCGCATGGGGTGCTCGGATACTAATAAAAAACAAATTACAGAATCTGTTAGTAATTCGCGAGACAAATTTATTAAACCTAATCAATCCGTTATTAGCACATGTTACTGTAGCACCATATTGTCAAATCATGAACTAATTATGCTTAAAAAATTCGTCTCGTAAAACAGTTTCAACCTGTGAATTTAGTTTTATAAATAATCTATACTAGGTAGCGTGCCCGTGCGTTGCTACGGGATAACTAATATTTTGTACTAAAAATACACCGATCGCACAATAAGATAACAATACTGTAAAAATTAAATACCAACGTTAAAGTGACATTTAATCCAAAAAGCAAAGTTTATGAATTTAACACAGTCACGGAGTGCGCGGCGTCGCAGGCTCACAAACTCTACTTTATAGACCTTTCCGTGATGCAGCTAAGATAATGTTTTATATTGGCAGGAAGAAATCTTCGATATCCATTTCTTTCGTGCTCACAAACTAATGACCCTGGTGCAACAATGAAAAATACAAATGAGCTATCCTCGTGAATGCGCGGAACCAACGCCACTATGATCGTGCCATCCCACGACCATTGGTATGGTGTTGTTTAGCACTATTGTTCACTATTATCGCTAACTTGCTTCATTGGTTTTATTCAAGTAATTTATGTTTGTAATTATGCAGGTGCTAATTCGGTTGATCCCCACATTGGCACATGAGAAAAGTGGGGGAAGTCGACAAAACTCTTGGTTTTGAGAACATACGCGTGTAATAGTTATGAATGGTTACAAAATGAAATATTATGAATAAAACACTGAAAGTGTCATTTTTATAACAATAATATAACACATGTTTAATTTTCATTATGCCAACACACAAGTGTATATACAACATCTCCATGCATTGAAGAGGTACCATCAACTACAGACGGTTGTGTCTGTGTACCTGTGCAATTATTAGGTGGTGGAACTGAAGTTTCCTGGGTGACACCACCTGTAGTAACAAAAGGTATGAGTTTTTAGAATAGAAGAGCGAAGGTGAAAGTACCGACAATATATACTGATCAAGGCTAATTACTGTTGTAAACCACACTCGATTGAGTTGGGTCATTCAAATCATTGCACTTTCCATCCGCACACCCTCTAGCACTTCTTCCAATGTTTGCTTCAAAAGCCCGATTGCGATGGAATAGAAGGGCATTTCTCTCTCCAGTGGTCACTCATTGCCTATGTATGGTCTGTGTCGCAGCCACTTTAGGGGTCTGGACTTCTGGATTTTGAATTACAGTCGGCGCGACGTTAACAGGCGTGCCCCTCAATTCGCGTATTTCCATCTCGTGTGAAGGCGCTTCATGCGATTGAGGTGAAGAAGGGAAAATAAACTGAGGGTTAAAGTGAGGGCTCTGCATGGCTATTGAGTCTAGATGCAAATTGTTTGCTCGGTGTTCTCTCACCATCCTATTGTATTTTTTCTTGCTCTCTTTTCGTTTTAACTCCTTCTCTTGTGGAGTCATTTGTAGTTTTTTTGTAGCATTTTTCTATGCATACAAGTCACGCTGTCTCTTATTTAAAAGCGCCTTTTGTTCAGGAGACATTGCAGCCCTTCGTGCTCTATCTAGCTCACGCTTACGCTCTTTTGGACACGTGACAATATTATCGATGGAACTGGATGCATTTACAGCACCTATATATAATAGAAACGTACGGTCTCAAATAAAATACAGAAGAGCACATATTGCAAGAACATTAGTTTATTATTACATTGTCATGAACCACAATTGGGTTGCCCACCACACTTTTTCTTCTCAAATAGATAAAATTAATGAAAAAAACAATGTACATGGGTTTAGATCAGGTGATGCATCAGTCATGCCAATCATGCCACTTTGATCTATACATTTATCAGAGTATTCATCTACATATATATAATAACATGATATTAACCTTGGCCTCGGCATCATACAAACACAAGAAAAAATAATTAGTACTTAGGAAAAAAACCAAAATGGTACATGTGTTATCTTTATCAATCTTCATGGGATTGTATGAGTTGTTTCGATGTAGCCAGTCACTATCTTCATAGACATCAGTGCTTTCCGTGGTCGAATCAACTCCAACTAGTACCACATGGCATTCACTATATATTAAATAAACTAAAAATGGCAACACTGAATTCAGAAAAGTAAAATCAGATTTACCTGCTTTTTTCTGATGATATCGTTCACGACGCTTTCTATTTTTTTTTTATTTCTTTCTTCCTGAGTCATTGCCGCCAATCGTGCCTTTTCCCTTTTCCTTTTTAGCTTGGTGGCATCCGTGTTTTCCTTTGTCTGATGATACTTTTTCCTAAGTTTTTTTATTTTTTTCATCCCTTTCTTCTCGAGTCATTGATGCATGTCGTGCTTTTTCTCTTTCTCTTTTACGCTGTGCACGTTCATCTATTTGCGCTTGTGAATTTAATGCTGTATGGTCACCTATTTGAAAATAAGTTGATAAATATTGGCTTAATTACCATAAATAATACAAGTGAATGCGTCTATGAATATGAGTATAAACAATTACCTCCATTGATGATGTTTGTCAAGTCTTCAAATGGTGCACAACCTTCATTATTTTGCATATATTCCATTGTGATTTCACTGAACACAAAATTAACCAATGAATTTGTATTATCAAACTTGTCCACGAGAGAGTTGATAAAAAGTTCCATCGACGCTAGAAAGAGTGAAATACTCGCTCCGTCTAAAAAATGTACTTTGACTAAGTTTGTATTAGAAAATACTGATATTCATGATACAAAATAAGTACCATTAGAGACACACATGCTAAAACTATTTACTACCTAAATGGGCGCCGCCTCCTATGGTGCCCATTTAGGATCCTATTGACTACATGAATGGTCAATTGTTTTTAGGTCCAAATATCAATTGCTAATTATGTAACACCTTAACTGGTATATGCCCGTGCGCGCAATGAATCAATTCTTTTAAAAAAAATCTTCAGTACAAAAAAGCAGGTAGGTCGTCTGAACATATGGTAAGGGAAAGTCTTTTTCGATGAATACTCATGATGGCATACACCAAGTAATAAAAGCAGGAGTAAACTCACGTTTTGTCATTCAGATTCCTGATGGAGAAGGATTAGAGGGTGGGTTTGCACAGTAATAAACTTCAAGTAGGACGTTCCACAAGTAGTCAAATTTACATATTTTCTATTTTTTAATATTAGGTGACCATAAATTTTCCAGCAAAACTGATAATTAGAAAGGCTGGTTTGACAAAATAACAAAGCATGCCCACAGGCTTAGCGTTCTTGTAACCCGTAGCTAGGCATGGAAAATTGATTGTCAGAAAACTATAAATATCTTCATGGAAGTCAACTTGAACAAATGCTAACCTTAGCAGATTTAACCAAGGAGCCAGTAACGAAATAAATTTTGACAATGATGAAATGGTATTCTGATGTCCACATTATTTATCAGACTCTTTCAGCAATTGTCCAATCTACATACAACTCAAAGAGCATCTCATGAGTGATGTACAAAAACAGTCCATATTATGGAGAAACAATTAGTATTTTTACAGTGTAAAAATGATAGAGAAAGAACGGTATGGATATATTATATAAAAGCATAGTAGGTTTGATTTTGAATCCCACACCGACTTTCAGTTTCCTCATTTCCCCCTTGAGTATATATTCCATGCTAAAATTCAAAGAGTAATTGTGCAATCAGTTGGAACATGCACCATGAGACTGATTAATCTCCGGAGACCCTTTATGGTACTACTTGCTAAAAATCACATGTGCTAAAAATTCTTGACGCAGGTCCTTCTCCTTCTCGACGTAGGTCCATCTACGAGGACACAGCCACCAAGGTTTGCTCCGCGTTACATTCTCCACTTAGGTGTCCGTTTTTTCGCACAGAAGGGAGAGCAGGGATGCCGCGCAGACGCCGTGCCACCTCACGGTGGTTGGCTTTGGTGGCGTTGATGAGCTGGAAGGCGAGCCCGGTGTCCTGGGCGAGGATATGGTGGATGTTGTCGAGGAGCGACGCCTGGAAGTGGCCCAAGCTGAACGCGTCCTTCTTCACCAGCACCACGGTGCCCCTGATCCGGCCCTCCAGCACCGTGGACGCCGCGCCGTCTCACGGTGGTCGAAGGCGTGCAGCATGGCCAAGCGGGGAGTCACGGAGGGGAGGGGAGCGACGAGCAGGGAGGAGACCGAGGCAGATGGAACACGTGAGCGTGAAACCAAATGAAAGGAGAAAAAAACTGTCTCTTTTGCAAATGCAAAGAGGGAAAGTAATTAAATGTAGGCAGATTTGACGATGTTCTCAGAAATGCAAAAATGTTCCTTTTGCCTTAATTCTCTTTTCTTCTTTGTTAATTCTCTTTCGTTTTGCTTGTTGCCATGTATGCTGGTGCATGCAAATATGCAATGTGTATATGAATAGCATAATAATTTTTTACTTTCTATTTTACCGTGATTTCTCTATCACATGACAGGCAATATTCAATTAAGGAGATATTGTAGGATCGCAGACGTAGGTAGACGGATGAACCAAAACAAATATCGTAAAAAAAATATTTACACTTTATCGTTCTTAGTCGTAGAAGAGGAGACTTAGTCCTCTATGTATATATCAAATATTGACAAGAGATACATCTCCTAAAACCCCGGTTTCCAGTCTTCTGCCAGTTCGCACGAAAAAGTCCGAAAAAAAAGAGAATCCATTCCCCGACACTTCCCGCCTCCTACTCTTCCAGGTTTCCACCTCACCGTCGTCGCCTCGTCGGCGGCTCGGCGCGTCCGCTTCCCGCCGCCCACCGATGACGCCATCCTACAGCTCCGGCCCCTCAGGGCCCGCCGGGGGGCGGAGGCCGGCGACCTTCGCCGGCGCGAGCGTGTTCCTGTCGCGGAATCTGGTTGCCCCCGAGGTGTTCGACGCCGTGCACGACGCGCTCCGCCTCAACGGCGCCGAGGTCCTCCTCTGCGCCGACCCGAGCCGCACGGAACCCCTCGACTTCCACGTCATCTCATCCTCCTCCCACGTACGCACGCGCCCTTCCCCCTACCTCGAATCCGACCGCCTCTTCCGTTTCCCCAATCCCCAATAATGTTTATTTTCCTTTTTTTTGTGTCAATTTCTGCAGGAGAGGTTCGCCGATCTACGGGCTAAAGGCTGCAATTTGCTAGGTGAGCATCTCCACAGTTCTGGAATTGGGCCCTATGGTTGCGCAGTTGTTTTGTTTGTTTTCTGACTAGAGGAATTATTCCAGATGCAAGTTAAATTAGGCTCAATTGTTTACAATGCCTTGACGATTGGATGCTGCATTATTGGATTTCAGCAATTTGTGACTCTATGGTCCATAACTTTAACTGTTAGGGTTAGATTGGTGTTAAGACTAGATAGTCTACTGCTAGAGATTAGTGTGGCAGATTGTTAAAAACTAGATAGTCTACTGCTATCATTTAAAAGTACTTCAGTTGTTAAGACTGCTGGATTAATTTGATAAGTGTGGCAAATAGTAGAGCGTACGAGAATCTTTACCAACATTTGAGTACGAAGAAAGGAGAGAAGGACATTTATAGGATGGCTAGGGTTCGTGAGAGAAAAATAAGGGACTTCAACCAAGTTAAGTGCATTAAGGATGAAAGGGAGCATCTCTTGGTGAAGGAGGATGAGATCCGACATCGATGGCAAGAGTATTTTGACAAATTGTTCAATGGTGAGAATATGGACACAACCTTTCAGTTGGATGACTCTTTTGATGACACTAATAGGAGCTTTGTGCGGAGAATCCAAAAATCTGAGGTCAGAGAGGCGTTGAAAAGGATGAAAGGAGGTAAGGCGATGGGACCGGATGGTATCCCAATCAAGGTGTGGAGATGCCTCGGGGACATAGCTATAGTATGGCTAACCAAGCTGTTCAACCATATTTTTCGATTGAACAAGATGCCTGACGAGTGGAGGAGAAGTATATTGGTACCGATCTACAAGAATAAAGGGGATATTCAAAGTTGTACTAATTACCGAGGAATTAAGTTGATGAGCCATACTATGAAGCTATGGGAGAGAGTTATCGAGCATCGCTTGAGAGCAATAACGCGGGTCTCTATGAACCAATTTGGTTTCATGCCCGGAAGGTCAACCATGGAGGCCATTTTCTTAATAAGACAAGTTATGGAGCGGTATAGAGAGAAGAAGAAGGACTACATATGTTTTTTATTGACTTGGAGAAGGCTTATGATAAAATACCAAGGAATGTTATGTGGTGGGCTTTGGACAAACATAAAGTGCCAACGAAGTACGTCGGGCTCATTAAGGACATGTACAACAATGTTGTGACTAGAGTTCGAACAAGTGATGGAGACACGGATGACTTTCCGATTAGGATAGGACTACATCAAGGGTTAGCTTTGAGCCCTTATTTGTTTGCCTTAGTGATGGATGAGGTCACAAGGGACATACAAGGGGACATCCCTTGGTGTATGCTTTTCGCGGACGATGTAGTACTAGTTGATGAAAGCCGGACAGGAGTGAATCAGAAACTGGAGTTATGGCGGGAGACTTTGGAGTCTAAAGGTTTTAGACTCAGTAGAACTAAAACTGAGTATATGAGATGTGACTTCGGCACTACTACTCGGGAGGAGAAAGATATTAGTTTGGAAGGTCAAGTAGTGCCTAGGAAGGATACTTTTCGATATTTAGGATCAATGCTACAGAGAGATGGGGATATTGATGAAGATGTTAGCCATAGAATCAAAGCAGGGTGGATGAAGTGGCGGCAAGCATCTGGTGTCCTATGTGACAAAAGGGTACCACATAAGCTAAAAGGCAAGTTTTATAGGACGGCGATTAGACCTGCTATGTTGTATGGTGTAGAATGTTGGCCTACAAAAAGACGACATGTTTAACAGTTAAGTGTCGCGGAAATGCGTATGTTGCGTTGGATTTGCGGTCATACAAGAAGGGATCGAGTTCGGAACGATGATATACGTGATAGATTAGGGGTAGCACCAATTGAAGAAAAGCTTGTCCAACACCGGTTGAGATGGTTTGGACATGTGCAACGGAGACCTCCAGAGGCACCGGTGCGTAGTGGAATCCTAAGCCAGGATAGTAACGTGAAGAGAGGCAAAGGAAGACCGAAGTTGACTTGGGTAGAGGCAATAAAAGGAGACTTGAAAGGATGGAATATACCCAAAGACTTAGCCTTAGATAGGAGTGCTTGGAAGACAGCTATTCACGTGCCTGAACCTTGATTGCTTCTGCTGGGTTTCAACTCTAGCCTACCCCAACTTGTTTGGGACTTAAAGGCTTTGTTGTTGTTGTTGATTGTGCTGAATTTGCAACATGGAGCTAAATTTGTTAAATCTGGGTATCTGATGCCCCAGCCTGATCTTTATTAGGCCTGTTATTATGATAACAGTTGCAAGAATGGCAGTAGTCGCACTTTGCCAGCTAATGTTGGTCTTAACCAACATAAAAAGCCATAAGAATCCTAGGTGATGGCCTCCTGTCAACCCTTTTGTGTGAAAATGAAAAGAAGATGGAAGCTCATGTGGGTTGTCTATACATCGTTTGTACTATGTGTGGGTAGGCTGCATGATGGGATCTTGGGGTACTACAGATAGCCATCTTATTTATCACCTCAGGTTGTGCAAAGCTTGCTGTAATGCTGCATTTGATTTGTTAAGACTTAAGAGTATCTTCAATTGAGAATTTAGTTTCATGCACAATATACTGCTTTGTATGAACTCTAAGTTTGTTAATGTCTTGGGAGGAGGTTCCTGTTTAAGGTATCTTGCTTGTCCAAAGTTTGTTGCAGCCAAAGGGCCCAAACTTTTCATGCTTTAGTGCTGAAACTTGTAGACAAGATTATTTATGAGTCGCTAGGGACCTGATCATGAAAATTGTTGATGCAATCTATGTAAATTTTCTCTCTCTAGAACATGCCAAGTGAAGCTAGGATCAATCATGTACCTGTTTATCTTTTTATCTTGAAAAAGTATCAGGCTTTCTTGTTTATTTGGACTCCAAAACGTTACTTGTCTTGCAGTGCATAAATTTTCTCTGTGGTTGAAATCATAATAGCCAATCTTCTAATAAGTTCCTCTAACTTTTGTGTTTAAGTGTTTAGTTATCAATGTTTTTGAATTTGGACAGGACCACAGTGCATTCTTTCCTGTGCTAAAGAACGTCGTTTTCTACCTAAACAAAGTTATACTTGTTGCCTTGCAATGGATGGGGTTAAAACACTTTGTTCAGGATTTGAAAAGTCTGAGAAGGTACATGTATCAGTGCTTCCCCTAATGTTACAGTTTTCGATAGTTAATACGTTAATATTTATCTCAAGTTTGTTTTTGTTCTTGCAGGTTAGGATTGAAGAACTAGTGACAGCCATGGGAGGTCATTTGCTAACTAGACACAACATGGATGTGAATTTTGTAATTGTGAAGGATGTCACGGCTGCCAAATATAAAGTAAGTTATCCAAGTTTTGAAAATCCCTGCTAATTCAACTGCAGCTAATGTTGTATGAAATGTTCTACATGCTTATCCTATACTATTAGATCCTATATAGCAAATCTTTTGTGAAAAGTAGTTCCTTGTTCCATTACTGCAGACAAAATCTAAGGTATTGTATTATATGTTTAATTCCTTTACTTCTCTGCGTATGCGCTGTGGTTCATGGTTCCAGTTTAATTAATTGATGCCACAAGTGCCAAAAGTAATTTTAAGTCTTGTTTCTGTTCTTTTGATACTTCTGAAGGCTTTTTAACCTAAATAAACCCAAAGTCAGCTTTGTTAATTTGTCCTTAACAGGCCTGAAAACTATGCTGCCAAGTCTAGTTGGTCAAGATAACTTTAATCTTTTTTTAGTAAATATTTACCTTTTGGCTTTTAAAAGAGCTCACCAGTTATCTAATGCAACAACAACAAAGCCTTTTATTCCCAAACAGTTTGGGGGTAGACTAGTTGAAACCCAACATGAGCCACCAACAAAACAGGAAAAGAAAATAAATAAATAAATATATAGTGATATTATTAGGATCTAAAGCATGTTAGTGATTCTAGCATGAGAGTAGCTGCTTTCAATGCATTCCTATCCATTATTTGGTGGAATAGTGGTGTCAGAAGTGTGCCAAGTATTTGAAAAAAAGAACTCAATTCCCTCATCATTCTGGTGGCTTGGGAGATACAGGAACACCACAATGAATGTGTTTTAAGGGTGCTAATCATTCTATGTCCATTAGTGTTACAGTCAATGGCAAATGAGAGTAGCTTTTGGTGCTTCAGCCCTCCACGAGTTACTCATCAGGTCACTTATCCTTGACAGTTAGGTCAGGGCGTGTGGTGGAGTTCGAGTTTTTTGATTTAAGTGACGGATCTGTTACTATACATGTATGGGAGCTGGCCCACTAGCCTCTCTTTGTATTTTTTTCCTTAATGAAATTACGTGCAGCTCTCCTGTGTCATTTGAAAAAAAAGTTCACTCATTTTTACCGAGTTTCATGTATCTTTGCCTACCTGCTCCCTCCATAATCTTTTATTAAGCGCATGGTGATTTCTCTGTTTTGAGGTTATATTGGGTGTGGGGTACATTTCTAGGCATGGTCCGGTGGATTTGAAGCGGCGTCCAATCGAGCATTCCGCAGTTACTCATGTGCTCAAATTCCAAGCGTTCTTTTGCATGCATGCATCCAATCGTGTACTTGCTTTTGGCTGTCATCAAGGGCTACGAAGCCTTGCATGCATGGAACCAATCAGCTGTAAAGACGTGGCCGCTGCAAGCCAAAGTTCTGAGCTTCATTAATCTTCTGTCTTGTTTCCTGCAGATCCTTGGTATCCGTAAAAACTCCTCACATGCCTAAGAAAAGATTATGTAGGGAGTATTGTGTAGCTAGTAGAGTACTGAGGCTGTTATGCTGCAGCTAAAAAACATAACTGCATGCTGCATCAGTGCTGCTAACTCCTTTGAACATCTGAGATGGCATTGATGCAAGAACTTACTTTCATGCTCTTTCAGCATTGGTACTGGTTGAGCTGTTGGCCTATGACTAATCTGGATGTGGCTGCTTCTTTTTGTGTTCGCAGTGGGCTCTGAATACTTTGAAGAAGCCCATTGTCACCATGAAGTGGTTAGAGCAATGCTGGATTGAACATCGTGTTGTACCTCATGAACCTTACAGGATTCTTCCCTTTACTGGGTTGAATATCTGTGTCACTAAACTGGATCCAGGTTGGTGCAGTTGAACTTTATTCAGCTTGGTGTGGGAAGTGAGTTCTGATTTTCCTCCCTTCAGAGCATGTTTTTTTTCTTGTATGGTTATTGAAAATTGAAGGCCTGTTTGGATTTTGGAAGAGTAGGATTACTCTAGTAACTTTAAAAGTTCATATTTAAAGTAAATTCTTGGGATTTGGAGCCCAGTCCTCTGAACATGCTCTTATGGTCGTTGATTAAAAGGTTGATGCTTCCAAAATAAAATATCAACTATTGTAATGCTTTATATTATGTTATTGAATATGTCCATGGATTTGGTAATTGCTACCTGACCAACTTGTGCAAATACTCCACTTTCCATAAATTACTGAGGTTTCAGCTTATTGTGTGTTCAGTAAGCAAGCCAATGTTGATGTGGCATATTATTGTAACTGTTATGGTGGGAAAAGTGTACCAGCGCTGTAACAAGAAGAGTGGCTAAGCTGGTTGGGCGGAGGCATGCACCAGGTGCGGCCACCAGGGCCAGGCGTGGGAGCCGGTTTGGCTCCAGCCGGTTCAATAGGAGTAGTTATCAGGATTGCTATTTTAGTGGAGTTTGTTAAGTCGAGTTTGTTAGCCCTTAGATTTAGGAGAGATTTGTTATTGAGTTGGTATAAGTGTCAAACAATCTGAAGGAATAGATTTTTAGCTTTGGGATTGAGTTTATCTCACCTTGGGCCCCTCAGGCGCATCGCTCACGTCTCCCCCTGTTGTTGCCGGTTTCGGCCAGGCGAAGCACTGGGCGCCCTTGATTCGTCAGCCGGGTTTCAAGCCCAGGCCTCCCCCCTCTCACTCCTACGCCCTCAGATCCTTAAGCTCCAACAACCTGGTATCAGCCATGTCTGGTCCTGGGTCTTCAGCAGCCGCCGTCGTTCCAACCACCACCGCCGCCACCGCCGCCGCCACCACCTCCGCGTTCCCTGTGCTCACCACCTCTGCGCCCATCGTTGCCACCACCGCGTTGCTGCTCAGTCCGCAGTCCGCGACCCCAGCATCTCCCACCGAGGCCTTCAACGCCTTGACGACGGCCATCTACGCGATGCAACGCCAGATGGGGGAGATCTCCTTGCGTCTCGCTGCTGTGGAGCGCCGGCCCTCGTCTTCGGGGCAGCCGTCCTTCCAGTACGGGCTGCCGGGTTACGGCAGCATTTCGGGGCTGCCTGCGTCGGCCCCGGCCATCTCGGAGTTGCCGCTATCCGCACCGCCTTTCCAGGCCGCACCACCAGTGCCGACCGTCGGAGTTCCCATCCCCCAGATTGCCTTCCCGCACTCGCCATCGCCCGTGCCTTCCCTGTCATCCATCATGCAAGGGGCAGGGGTCGCTGCGCCGCCACCTTCGGCCGCGATGCATACACCGCCGCCACTGCCTCATCTACCGCCGGAGCCGGAGGGCCCTGCTGTTCCACGCTACCATAAGCTGTCCTTCCCAACCTATGACGGCAAGGAGGACCCGCTTCACCGGTTGCTCAAGTGTGAGCAGTTTTTGTGGCTGCAGATTTCGCCACGCGGATTGGGTCGGCTCGCGTCCTACCACCTCACACCAAGACAGCTCGGATGTGGTACACAATCTCGAACGTGACGCCAACCGCCCGAGTGGGAAGAGTTCAGCGACTTTGTCATCGATTTGGACCCGCTTCGGTACCAATCACTGGCGGACTGCACGCCTACCCTTCACGTCTTGGTTGATGCGTACCTAGATGCGTTCAGCGCCAGATGGCGCACGACGCCGCCTCTCGCCGGACCAAAGAAGCAATTGTTCACCAATGCCTTCCGGACCACATCCGTGTCGACGAGAGCTCCATGACCCGCAGAAGATCTCCGGTGGGCCATGCGCGGTCGGCACGCCTGCAGACTGAAGTGGCGAATGCTCTCCCCCCACTCGCCTTGTTAGCCGCGGCTCGACCGCCGACGCAACACGGGTCAGACCAAGATCGATCATGTTGGCGGGTTCCTGAGGACTTTTGAATTAGCTTCACCCGCGCAGACAGCCACAACACGACCCTTCAAGCGGCTATCACCTGAGGAGATGGCTGAACGCCGCAAGCAGGGGCTCTGCTATAACTGTGATGAGCAGTACGTCCGCGGCCATAAGTGCGCCCGGCTCTTTTACCTGGAGGCATCTGACTACATCGTCGAGGAACCAGATGACGCCGATGAGGCACCAGAGGCACCTGCAGCAGCAAACCTGCCGCCCTTCAACCCCGACGCCCCCATGATCTCGCTCAACGCCATTACTGGCATTCGTACTAAAGACACCATGCAGCTCTACATACAAATTGGCAATGAGCAGTTTGTTGCACTCTTGGATTCGGGGTCCACGCATAATTTTGTGCGCGGCGACGTCGCCCAACGAGTTGGCCTTCAGTTCCACCCCTTCCCGGGCGCCGGGGTCATAGTCGCCAACGGTGACCGCGTGACCTGCCGTGGCCTCGCAAAGGACGTCGCCATTCGCATCGCCGACGAACAGTTCTCCATGGACTGCTGCTCCATCCCGATTGATGGCTACGACATGGTCCTCGGCGTCACTTTTCTGAGGACGTTGGGGCCCATCCTCTGGGACTTCGATGACTTGTGTATGGCGTTCTCACACGGAGGCCGCCGCGTGTTCTGGCGCGGCATTGGCTCGACACGGCATGATGTACAGTCAACTCATCGCCTCCATGCACTTCGCCAAGATGGGCCGGCTCTGATGGAACGCTTATTGCAGTCCTTCGAGGACCTCTTCGCCGAGCCCCAGGGCTTGCCACTGGTTCGTTCGTGTGATCACAGAATACATCTGCAGCCCAGCACGGCGCCGGTAGCAGTCCGCCCCTACCGGTATCCACAGCTACAGAAAGAGGAGCTCGAGTCCCAGTGTGCTGCTATGCTGTCCCAGGGCGTCATCCGGCCAAGTACGTCGGCATTCTCAGCGCCGGTGCTGCTGGTCAAGAAACCAGACTCCTCCTGGCGCTTTTGTGTGGATTATCGCGCCCTCAACGACCGCACAGTCAAGGACAAGTTCCCCATTCCAGTGGTAGAGGAGCTCCTGGATGAACTCAAAGGCGCCAAATTTTTCACCAAGTTAGATCTCCGTTCGGGCTACCATCAAGTCTGGATGCTTGCTAATGACATCGAGAAGACGACCTTCCGCACGCATCACAGGCACTTCGAGTTTTTGGTCATGCCGTTCGGCCTGACCAACGCGCCGACGACTTTCCGGAGCCTCATGAACACGGTCCTTCGGCCATACCTATGTAAGTTCGTGTTGGTTTTCTTCGATGACATATTAATCTACATCCCTTCATGGACGTCGCACCACCAGCATGTCAAGGCCGTCCTCACAGCGTTGCGCGAACAGCAGCTGCACATCAAACGCAACAAGTGTTCGTTCGCCACGGCCTCCGTCGCGTACCTGGGCCACATCATTTCCGCGGATGGAGTGGCCATGGACCAGTCCAAGGTGGAAGCAGTGACGTCGTGGCCACAACCGCGCTCAACGCGGGGTCTCCGTGGCTTCCTCGGCTTGGCGGGCTACTACCGCCGCTTCATCAAGAACTTCGGCGCCATCGCTGCACCCCTCACGCAGCTCCTGCACAAGGACGCTTTTCTGTGGTCAGAGGGGGCCGCGGCGGCGTTCACGGCGCTGAAACAAGCGCTGGCTGCGGCTCCGATTCTCCAACTACCGGACTTCGAGCTACCCTTCACGGTGGACTGCGATGCGTCCAGGTCGGGTTTTGGCGCTGTGCTGCACCAGGGCACGGGCGCCATCGCGTTCTTCCGCAGGCCGTTCTCGCCAAGGCACATGAAGCTAGCTGCGTACGAGCGGGAACTAATTGGTTTGGTACAAGTTGTTCGTCACTGGAGGCCCTATCTTTGGGGGCGTCGCTTCGTCGTGCGCACCGATCACTATGCACTCAAGTTCCTCCTCGACCAGCGCCTCTCCACCCTGCCTTAACATCAGTGGGTCTCCAAGCTGTTCGGCTACGACTTCGCCGTTGAGTTTCGGCCGGGACGCCTGAACGTGGTTGCAGACGCGCTGTCCCGGCGTGACGAGGCTGTTGATCATCTCCACGCCCTGTCAGGACCGTCCTTCGACCTCTTCGACAGCCTCCGCTGCGAGCTCGAGGGGGACACGGCACTACGTGCACTGCGGGACTCGATCGCCGCTGAACGCGACGCCCCTTGGCACGTCGTGGACGGCCTCATTCTTCACGGCACCCGCGTCTTCGTGCTGGCGCAGTCGGCGCTGCTGCCCACCGTGCTGGAGCTTGCCCACTCTGTTGGACATGAGGGCGTTCAGAAGACCCTCCACCGTCTACGCGCCCAGTTCTACATTGAGGGCGATCGTGCACAGGTGCGCGACTTTGTGCATGCCTGCGCCGTCTGCCAGAAGAACAAGGTGGACTCCCTTCGGTCGGCAGGGCTGCTGCAGCCCCTGGAGGTGCCATCGCAGGTGTGGTCCGACATCTCGCTAGACTTCATCGAAGGACTGCCGCGGGTTAATGGCAAGAGTGTCATCTTGACTGTGGTCGATCGCTTCTCCAAGCACGCGCACTTTATAGCGCTCAGTCATCCGTATACAGCGGCGTCGGTTGCCAAGGCGTTCTTCGAAGCCATCGTTCGCCTGCACGGGTTCCCCAACTCCATTGTCAGCGACAGGGATCCCGTGTTCACTGGCAATGTGTGGCGGGATCTGTTCAAGTTGGCGGGGGTCAAACTCCGCCTCAGTACGGCGTTCCACCCGCAAACTGACGGCCAGTCGGAAGCAGTGAACAAGACCATTGCCATGTATTTACGCTGCATCACCAGCGACCGCCCCTGTGCTTGGTTGGAGTGGCTACCCTGGGCAGAGTACTGCTACAACACGTCCTACCACACTGCCTTGCGGACTTCGCCATTTCAGGTTGTTTATGGCCGGCCTCCGCCTGCTTTAATTCCCTATACTGCAGGCACAACGCGCACCGACACCGTCGACGCGCTTCTCCAGGATCGCGACGCCTTCCTGGCTGAGGTGCGCGAACTCCTCCTCCAGGCCCAGGAATATGCCAAGCGCTACTACGACGGCCACCACCGCCCCCTGGAGTTTGCAGTGGGCGATTGGGTGTGGCTACGCATCCTCCATCGACCGGTGCAGTCGCTGCTGCCGGGACCACGGGGCAAGCTGAGCCCGTGGTTCGCCGGCCCGTTCCAGGTGACCGAGCGCATTGGCGACGTCGCGCACCGTCTGCTGTTGCCAGAAGGAGCGCGCATCCACAACGTCTTTCATGTTGGTGTCCTCAAGCCGTTCCGGGGGACTCCTCCAACAACGCCCCTGGCCCTTCCTCCACTGCGCCACGGTCGTCGCCTCCAGCAGCCAGCCCGTGCTCTACGTGCCCAGCTTCGTCGGGGCATTTGGCATGTCTTGATCCAGTGGGCAGAATTGCCGGAAGATGAAGCCACCTGGGAGCCCCTGGAAGAATTCCGCGCTGAGTTCCCCGCCTTCTAGCTCGAGGACGAGCTGTTCGTCGAGGGGGGGAGTGATGTTATGGTGGGAAAAGTGTACCAGCGCCGTAACAAGAAGAGTGGCTAAGCTGGTTGGGCGGAGGCATGCACCAGGTGCGGCCACTAGGGCCAGGCGTGGGAGCCGGTTTGGCTCCAGCCGGTTCAATAGGAGTAGTTATCAGGATTGCTATTTTAATGGAGTTTGTTAAGTCGAGTTTGTTAGCCCTTAGATTTAGGAGAGATTTGTTATTGAGTTGGTATAAGTGTCAAACAATCTGAAGGAATAGATTTTTAGCCTGGGATTGAGTTTATCTCACCTTGGGCCCCTCGGGCGTTACTGCTCACGTCTCCCTGTTGTTGCCAGTTTCCAGCCAGGCGCCGAGCACGGCGCCGCCAGTTCGTCGCCGGGGTTTCAAGCCCAGGCCTCCCCTCTCTCACTCCTACGCCCTCAGATCCTTAAGCTCCAACAGTAACTGTTGCCCACTGGGATGTAATGCTAATTGCCAATCAAAAACACAGTTGTTTAGGGCTAGGCGTGTCTTTTGCATTACCTTGATTGTTTAAGGTGTCAAGTGCCTGGTTTTGATGTCGAGATTTAATTTTTTAACCTACTAGGCAATAGTCGAGAATATCATTTCTCTGTTTCCACCTTGAAATTGGACTAGGTTTTTGGCAGATTATTTGTGTGGCGTGAATGTACTGTTTTTTATAGGCAGGTGTGGGTGTGGTATTGTACTCTTTGGTACGTTTTCTTTATGGAATGACATGTCCTAGAAATTCGAGAATTTTTTTTGGCAGATTTGTGATTGGGTTTTGTGGAGACTGACTATGATTTGTGCTATACCAATCCCTGTGGAAACTAAACAGAAACCTTTACTGGATATCAGCCTGCAATCAAACACTAAACCTTTAGAACTTTGACCCTTCTATGGAAGTATTTGGATTTACGTGAAAATGGTATTAATGGATTTGATGTCAGTAAGTCAGTTCACTTATAATATATATTCTAATGTCAAACATGTATATTGGAGCTGTATAAACCTAAATAATAGGTAATCCAGACTGGTGGAGGTATGAGTTAGTCCAAGTGCAAGGTATGAACTGCGGGCTTTAGACACAGAACTTCCAACCCTCTGCTAGTGCAGAGCTATTGTTGATATTTATGGAAACTACATGTAACATATGCTTTATTCTGTTGAATTGAATGATCAGTTACTTCATCAGTGACGCTTTATTTTTCTTCTGTTTGATCAGATGAACGGAAGGAATTGGAGGAAATGGTAGTGCAGAATGGTGGCCAGTTTTCTCCCTGTCTCACACGAAAGTGCACCCATTTAGTCGCAAATATATCCTTTGATGCTTTTTGAATTTACTATTTTCTGTTTGAGATTTCAGTTGGTTTAAATGAGTCAACCGGAATAGATCTGAAGATCTCAGCAAAAGTACCAGATTTGTCGTTAGGCCAAACTTATAATCCTCCACCCTGTATTCCTTTTCCATAGCCATAGTGCAGGAAATGAAATGTAGATGAATGAAAATATGAGTAATTGAGCAGTCTGACATGTCGTTAAAACTGGGTGATCAATGGATGCACACCACAGTTGTGAATTCATGAAAGCCGTGTATCCATCTATCAACTGTCAATATAACAAAAAAAAAAGATAAAATCACTGAAAGAAATTACCACTGGCATTCCAGGATTTACTTAATGTTTGTTCCAGTGTTTGGGGAACATTTGGCTTGACATTTGTTAAAGTATTGTTCATTTTCCAAACAGCTTTCTAAAGGACAACACACTTTGCTTACTATATTGATTTCTTAACATATTATTACAAACCTGGAGGTGACAAATATGTCGTGGCCCAAAAATGGGGTAATATCCACATTGTGAATCCAAGATGGGTTGAACAATCTGTTGCTCGAAGAGGTACTAACATACCCAGGAGCTTTTGCTGCTACTATAGATTGTTCCTCCTGCAAAAGTTATAAATCTAGTAAGATTAATCTAACTTCTTGAATGCATTTCTTTATTGAAATGAAGCTTGTCAAGATGAAAATAGCTTCCTCGTTTGTCAGAGTTCATCTGCTTTTAGTGGTTCAAAGAGTTCCCTTAAGGAGCAACAAAATCCAGAGATCAGTAGCGCAAGTGCAAGCTTTCAACCTGTTCCAGCAACATCAGTTGATGACTCAGTATCAATGTCACAATATTTGCCTGCTTCATTTGGCGATGCTGCACGGATCAGCAACACTGCTATTGTTGGCGCACCTAGTGTCCAAGAGAAAAATGAGATGCACGTTGATAGTCATGTTGCTGAGGACTCAGAGCCAGAAAATGATGATCTATATTTATCAAATTGCCGAATTTCTCTCGTGGGTTTTGAAGAGAAAGAGTTGTTAAGGTTCGTTATGATGATACGCAATGGAGGTGGATCCCGGCATATTTTGCTAAGTGAGAAGCTTACTCATATTGTTATTGGTAAACCTTCAGATGAGTAAGTTCATGCAACTGTTTCTCCTGTATATCCTAGTTCTTTTCTGGATGGTTTCAGTTGCAGCTGATTGTGCTTATTTGTCTTGACAGTGAAAAAAAGGAGGTAAGACGTCTGGCTGTATGGGGTGTAATAAATATAGTGAAAGTAACATGGTTAGAAGACTGCAATAGAGCAAAAAAGGAAGTGAAAGTATCTCCAATGCATATAGCTACTGAGCTCCTCTTGAAGGGTATGGAACCCACCAGATTTAGTTGTATTTAAAAGTTAAAACAGATATTATCCATACTTGACTTAACTTTCAATGTTTTTCTATCTTTTGAACATAGGATTTTCACAAGTGAGCATGGAAAATTCTGCTGATACACGTGAAACTAAGGTAGCCAAAAGCTCAGGTGGGATTTTTCAAGTTCCAACTGTCGATGACTTACATGACAAACATCATGAAAAAGATGTGTCATCTGAAAGAAAACCAAAAAGAGGCAAACATGAAAACAGTATAAGTAAAACCCAATCAGCAGCCAGGACTGCAAAATCAAGTCAACAGAATGGAATGGTCAATGTTAGCGAGTACCAGCCCCAATATCAAGTAACATCCACAATGAATTCTGGAAGTAGCAGATCAAATATATTCAAAGGGAGGACGTTTAGTTTCTCAAATTCATTTTCTCATGACAAGGTATGCTACTTTGCTAATATTCCATCCATTTCCTGTATTGGTATGGTATCATTTGTGCCACCTCCCTTTTAAGATGACTCATGGTTTAAACTTCATGTTCATTTGATCCCCTCTTGTTCCTTTTTTAGGTTTTCATTATATATATATAAACCCCCCACCCCCCCCCCCCCCCCCCCACACACACACAGAGTAGAGGTCTCCCTACTGTAAAAACATTCATTTTGGTGAGTGGTAGAAATAGCAATTAGGTCATGTTTTTAGAACTTTCAAATGCTTTTGCTGACGGATCAACTTGTTGAGACATTACACTGAAGTTACTGTATATAGTAGACCAGAGCCGAAAAAGCCTAGTCTTGCTCATCTAGAAGCCTAGTTTTCTTTTGATTATGTATAAATATTTGGCTTCCACTTGCTTTGATTTTTGTTGACAAAGTGGCTATGTTCATATGAATCAGAGACCTGAGGTTGTTGATTGGGTCAGAGATGGTGGAGGCGTTATGGTGGATGACAATGACATACAATCAACTGTTGTGGATTTCATAATTGAGTGTCATGGACAAAACAGCTTGCCTTGTGACTGTTCTCATTCAGCTGTTGTTTCAACTCAATGGATACGATCATGTTTGGAGGTACATGCTTCTGTGGTCGAGGTCACTTTGCTCCACTATGCTTTTGAAGTGTCAGTCTACATTCCAGTTCTTATACATTTAAAAATTTGTATAGGAGAACTGCTTACAAGATGTTGGGAGTCATCCTATCTTCTCTCCTTTGCGCTGTCGCATCCCGTTCCCAGGATTCGAAAGCTTCCATTTCTGTATTTCACAATATGGAGAGAAAGAAAGACAGCTGTTGAAGAACTTGTGCTTTCTGCTGGGCGCTAAGTTTACAGAAAAAGCATATAAGAGAGTAACCCATCTCATCTGCAAATTTGCAAGTGGTCCAAAGTATGAGGTTTACACCAAAAGAGGAACTCCAACCATTACTCCCGAGTGGCTCTATGAGTGTGTAAAACAGGTATTCGTCTTCAATACATAGTGTTGAGCATATTCACGTCTTCCCTTCCCCCTGACAATGGCTTGTGCGGGTGAAATGGTTAACAAGATAGCGAATTGTCATTGCAGGATAAACTTCTCCCTGTTGATCACTTTCAGCCGAAACCACTTACATCACAGGATCAAGATGCTTCTGCGTGCACTGTCAGCCAATATTCCACGCAGGCAACCAGATTTGATTCCTCTGAGCTGCTTAGTGGTTGTCAAGTAACAACAAACAATGCAACACACAATTCTGGTAATTGTTCATTTCACAAGTTCTGCAAAGAAATTATGTTCACCCCAAACTCATTGTGCTCGTATAGCTGGTGCTGGTATTTCTGCAGTTCATGAAGAAACAACTATGCCTGCTGTTAGTAGAAAGAGAAGAATATCTGTTCCTGGCAAGGTTAACGATACGTGCGGAAATATTGGAAGATCTGAGAAACACCTCGACAATAGCTCTGTCCCTGATGTCGCAGATGCCATAGAGGTTCTATCATCCAAGGTAATGCTAATGCAATCCATACACTTTACTATTACAAAGACTTGGGACATCGTCTAAATGCGACACATCGCATTTTTTAAACTGCAGATTCAGGACGTGCAATCTCCCAGGAGTGTATCCTATTTTACTGGTGATAAATGCTTTGCTGTTCTTACTCATACTGTACATTACAAATGCACTAGTGTTGTATCCTTAACTTCTGATGCAGATATTTGAACCTGACAATTCTGTTGTTCAAGAGCAGAAAGATACACACTCCTTTGGCATTTCAAGGAGCTGGTTGAACATGTAAGTTGGTACATTATGCATTTTGTACACGCATATGTTTGGATAGATTTGGAATGCTCGTTTTTTCTGTAGATATGCTCTTTTGGAGCATCTGGAACTTTCAGTTTAATAATGAAGCATTCAATCATCATTTCTGATTGATAGAACTTCCACTTCCTCACACAATAACAAAATGAATATTCACACAGCAACATGCTCACTCTATGACATCTATGTAGCAGAAAATTTTCATCTGGCAACTTGTTTGCAGTAAGGGTGTGTTTGGTTCTGGGATATAGAGGGCGGGATGGTCCTGCCCCTGCTTTGAGGGATGGGATCATCCCTGCTTCACGTTTGGTTTGGTAACTGTTGTTTATTTTCTCTAGGCAACAGAAGCAAGACAACACCCCTGGCACAAAGGTTAAAAACTTAAACTCCACACCAGTCCCCTCCCCTGCTCCCACTACTTACTACCCTTTCAGTGAGACGCAGACGGAATCTCAGGTGTGTAGTCTATCCAATAATCAACATGCTCTACTCGGCAATCGGCAAAAGCATTGTCCGACTCATTTAAATCTGGTGTTTTCTGCAGGTCGTTGGATACGAAGAAGATTTAACAGGCAGGCAGAAGATCATAGACAGGGTTCGGTCTCAGAGCATTAATGTGACTCCCTCGAGTGAGATTCCTTAGTTGTGGAGGAACCAGAACATCTTGCTTGCAGCTAGATCTGACTGTCAAATTGCGATAGGGAAGATGTAATCTGAAATCTGCTTGTCGGGCAATGCTGGCTTCAAATTAAGCAGCATGGATGGAGTCTGCAAATATACGGAGGCGTATTCCTAGCCAGAGGATCCGCGTAGCAAAAATCGAGGAGATTTTCATTGCATGGCATTCGATGAACGGAACCTCACGCTTACATCTTGAGCTTGTGGATGTAACGCCCTTGTTTGTAGAACACAGACAGACTCTGAACTACTGAACGCTTGTGATCCGTGTGATCCTGTACATTAACAATCTTGTACACTAGATCCAGGAGTAGCTAAAGGAGTCGACACATGACACATGCTCGTCGATATAATAATGTGTTTTGGTGTATATGACGAGTATGAAAGGAAGCATGTACAAATGTAACAATTCGTTTTTGATTTGATGCTTGTGTATGCATGCTCAATTAGTGGAGGTAGCTGGGCATGCAAGTTCCGTTGTTCTGTTGCTGTATGAACCATAAATTTGCATATTCAATTTTGTTAAGTCACCTCACACGAGCAATTTGACTTCAACAGTACGGAAAATACGAAGAGATCTTGGCAGCTCCTGATCCTGTTTATTAGATATTTCAACTTCTCAAGTTGACTCCTGTTTTTCTAAGCTTATTATTTCATGGGCTAATTAGTTCATAGTAATATCATTATTAATGGAGGGAGAGAAATGATTCTCATCACAAGCAAAATAATGTATCATTGCCTTTGCAATTAATTCATAGTTCATACTAGAGTAGTTGCACACAATCACTTCTTTCCAGCGGCACCCATGAACCGAAATTTCTGCAGTACTAGCATTCTTTACCCTGAACATGGCACGCAGGCTCTTCAATGGGGGCTCACTACCGGATACAGGATATTTGCCAGAGTGCCCTTGGCACTCGGCGAAGCCCCAAAAACACTCGGCAAAGGGGCAAACGATGCTCAACAAACCCTTTAACGGCAAACACTAGTTTGCCGAGTGTTTTTTGTCGGACACTCGGCAAAGACTTTGCCGAGTGTCCAAAATACACTCGGCAAACATTTTTTCGAAAAATAAAAAAGCCACCACCGGCAAAAAAAAAAAAACCACCATCGGCCAAAAAAAATAATAAAAAAACCACCACCGGCCGGTCTCCGCTGGCCGCCGTCGGTCTCCTCGGCGGCGCCCTTCCCCTGCGCTGCGGCCCAACTTCACGCCCTCTGTCTCGCCTCCGCTCCCCGGCTTCACGGCCGCCGCCATGAGACACCACCACCACGCCACCGCCGCCGTAGCTCGCCAGATCCGGCCTCACCGCCGCCGGATCCGGCCTCCCCGCCACCGGATCCGGCCCCCAGCGCTGGAGCTGACGAAGAGGTGAAGGAGGAGCGTCGCCGCAGCCCGCCTGCGCCGCCTCGCTCGTCGGAGGAGGAGCGCCGCCTCGCCCGCCGGATCCGCCTCCCCGCCACCGGATCAGGACTCCCCGTTGTCGGATCCGGCCTCGCCGGCCCAGGATCCGCTGCAGGAGGGCGGTCCCGCCATGGATCCGGCCGCCCTCCACCGGATCCAGCCGCCCTCCACCGAAACCAGCCCGGGGGGCGGTGGTGGAGGTGCTCCGAGGTGAGGGAGGGGACGGCCGCCCGCCGCTGCCTGCTGCTAGAGCACGCCGGAGTGGAGAGGGGCTGTGCCCCCCGCGTCGCGATGGAGTGGAGAGGGGCCGCGCCCCCCGTGCCGCTGCCGGTCCGCGCCGATGAAGAGAAGGAGAGGAGGGGGAGGCCGCCGGATCCGGGGAAGAGAGGGAGAGGAGGGGGCGGCCTCGTCGGATCCGGGGAAGAGAGGGAGAGGAGGGGGCAGCCACTGCTGGGGAAGAGAGGGAGAGGAGGGAGGGCGCCGGGGGAGGGGGGCGCTGGGGGCCGGGGAAGAAAACGGAGGCGACGCTGGGGCCGGGTGCGTGCAACCCGAGGAAGAAGGTGAGGGGGAACTGGGGGCAGGTGCGGAGGGAGGGTGGGGCGCTGGGTGGGTTAAAGAAGATATTTTTTTTATTTGCCGAGTGTCCCATATCTGGACACTCGGCAAAGTATTTTTTTTCTCATTCTTTTTCAGAATTTTTTTTCTTTGCCGAGTGTTCTAGATCTGAGCACTCGGCAAATTTTTTTTTATTTTTTTCTTCTCCTTTTTTTTTGAAAAAATATTTTATTTCTTCGCCGAGTGTTTTTTTTCACACTCGGCAAACTTTATCTTTGCCGAGTGTTTTTTTTACACTCGATAAACCTCATCTTTGCCGTGTGTTTTTTTTTTGAGTGTTTTTTTTTGACACTCGGCAAAGAACCTGTTCGTCGAGTGCCCGAGGGAATACACTCAGCAAACATAAAAACATTCGGCAAATTTGAGAATTGCGGTAGTAGCTCCACCCTCCCCGACGGCAGCGTAGCACCGGCGCTGTAGTCGAAGGGACTGTCGCCGCCGTACGGGTGGCGCGGTGACCGGCTTGGGTAGCTGACCAAGGAGCCGGGGCGGCGGTGCCAACGCCGGCAGCCTTTATGATGCGCTCGATCTCGCTGACCACCTCGCCATGGACGGGCGGTCGGCGCCGGCCTCCTCCACGCAGGTACGAGGTACGCACCGCAGCGCCAGGTCCACGTACTGCTCTAGCCCGGCCGGCGCCGACGGCGACGCGGCCAGCACCGGGTCCAGCAGCTCGTGCAGGCCTCACAGGTCCTTCCTTGCCCCGGTCCGCCGCCGCCCTCACCTCCCGGAGACCCGGACCACGTACCGGCCGTGCTCCAGCGGCTTCCGCGCGCCGTGATGATCTCCAGCATCAGCACGCCGAAGCTGTACACGTTGCTCTTCTCCGACAGGTGCTGCGTCGTGTAGTACTCGGGGTCCAGGTAACCCTGCAACGCCGCCAACACGTGTCGAATCATTTGTATAGTACAACAATGGAGCAACACGAGTTGTTGTCAAGCGATCGATCAACCAACCATTGTGCCCTTGACTTGAGTGGTGACTTGGCCCCTGCCGTCCAGTCCCAGCGGCTTTGAGAGGCCGAAGTCGGAAACCTTGGCGTTGACCGTTGAGCCGGTCGTCGAGGAGGACGTTGCTGGACTTGATGTCGCGGTGCACGACCGGAGGGTCGGCGAGCTCGTGCAGGTAGGCGATGCCCTTCGCCGTGCCGAGCACCACCCGGAGCCGCCGTCGCCAGTCCAGGCGCACGCCGGACTTGCCTGCAGCGCATACGCTAGCCGCTCAACGGATCGGAAATGTCGCTTCCAGCTATGCTCAGCGGATCGGAAACCCACCGTAGAGGCTCTCCCTGAGCGTGCCGTTGGGCACGTACTCGTACACCAGCATCTGCTCGCCCTGGTCCACGCAGAAGCCGACGAGGGTGACGACGTTCTTGTGGTGAACCCTGGAGAGGAGCTCGATCTCCGTCCTGAACTCCAGGCTCCCCTGCAGGGACCCCTGCTGGGATCTCTTCACGGCCACCAGCTGCCCTCCCGGGAGCATCCCTCTGTAAACCTGCATGCAAGCATTCAGAACAGACAGCGGCTGATCAGAACATTCAACAAACTGTGATTGCCCTTGCCCCACCGTGGCTGCTTGCTTGCTTGATCAGTGATCACTTCACCTTCCCGTAGCTTCCGGTCCCGATGTCGTTCGTCTCAGAGAAGTTGCTGGTGATCTTCTTCAGCTCATTGAACGTGAACATGCGCGCCCCGTGTAGCTGGGGGCCAGTATTGTCGTTGCTGCTCTAGACTTCATGCCCCATGAACCTGCAGGTGATTGTGCTGCACAAAGGACAAAGCCTCAGTCAAGTCAGTGACTTCTATGCAGAGGCAGAGCAGAGGACTGGTGAGAGATAAGAGGGAAAATGAGGTGTTGACCTGTGCTACTGTTAAGTGCTAACTAACCAAAAGGTTGGCTTCTCTTTTCAGTCTGCTTTGGTTTCCTCTTCCTTCTGGCCATGATGATCACAAGGGCAAGAACTGCTGCAACAACTCCGCCGCCCATCGAAACTCCAACAACCAGGGGTTTGTAGTTTGTCGTCTTCGGTTTCGACGTTAATGCCACCTCTATGTTGAAGAATTGAGGAGTTGTTGTCTTGTTGAACAGACAGAGACATGAACGACGCTGATCAAGCTTAAACATTCAAGTGTAATCATAGCATGATACGATATCTAATGTACTACAGTCCCTGAATCTGAATGTATACATGAATGATCTCACCATTGGCAAAAGTGTACGCCTGTCCAATGAAAAAATATGGGCCATAACTGGTTGGTTTATACGTCTGGTTGCTCAGCATGAACCCGATGTCAGAAACGTCTTGTTCACTGAACCGGGTCTTGCCACTTGGAAACAACTCCAGGCTCATCTGCAAGTTGTTGTGCGCATTAAAAATTGAATCATGGATCGAGACCGAGTCCAGCGGGATGCTGCGTTCCAAGAATTTGCTCTTCATTTCTTGCTCTCTACGGATGAAGTACGAGCTGTTGCTCAGGTCAGGAAACGGCGGCAATCTGAAGAATATGGTGCCCTTGTACGGCACGTGGGCACGGCATGTTAAGAACATAGGATACAACTAGGTGTAAGATCTAGTGAGTGATAACCTTACATGCGGGATAAACCAGTCCTAGTTCACGTAGACCTAGAAGATAGAGAGAAGAGGGAGAGAGGGATGATAGGTTACCGACCATCAGAGGGTTTGGCGGAGGAGCTGGAGCCATCCATGGTTGGCACGATAGAGGCAGTGGCGTCCGAGCGGTGAAGTGGTCCAGCAGTGGCACGGCGACCCGACGGTGAAGACGGTGGCGGCTTCCCGTCACTCGCTGCGCACCCTCTAGATCGGAATAGGATATGTCGGTGGGGCGACTGTAGCTGTGACGAACCTCGTGACTCGAGCCATCGGCCCCCCACCTCTATATATATATAGCGTAGTGTGACGGAGTCCCACCAACCATGTAGGGTTG